ATCGTAATAGCTCCCCCCCATCTCCCACTCGCTTTCGATTGTGTCTTTTGTTCTCTTTGGCCCGCCTATGTTCTTTGCTCCCCCCTCTCTGTCTCCTGTGTCAGGGTTGAGCTTCACTCAAATGTTAATCATCACACATCTCAGTTATCATCGACTCAGCCACTGGACTGCAGTCTGCCTACATGTTTATTCTGGTATTAGTCACATTTCATTGTAGACAGTTTGAGTGGTTGGGGTGAAGGGCCTTGTTTAGGGGGCACCTCAGTGGTAATAACACAGTTCAGCGCTTGCTTCTCCTACCTTTAGGCCACCACTGACTGAAATGAGGAACGCGCTTGTGACATCAGATGGTGTAAAGGAACTTCACATTATCTTCATACCATTCTACATCTCCATTTGTCATCATCCTTGTTTCAGCAGCAGCATGCAGCTGTCTTTATAAGAAAAACTCGTCAGACAGACAGAATGTCTCTCACCACAAATGTAGGGCATATTTATCAGAAGTGGAAAATTACTTCAAACTAAGGCAGGAACATGCTGTAACTTTTAACCGGAGGAGAGAGGTTTTTTTATTATTATGAGCTATACTAGAATACTGTCTCGGAGCAACACATACAGAACATCAGAACCACACCAGTAACCGACCGTGTGCCGGGCGCTTTATGCGGGACATATTGAGCCTCATGGATCAACATATCTTTCTCTCCAGTACAGGTTAGCTCTCAGTGTTAGCGATGCTAATGTAAACACCGACCATATAACGTCCAAAACAGTCGGGCATTGTTTCTGATAGCAACGTTTCTGATAGTGCTGTGGGTTCGCCGCCGATATTACGTCATAGTGGCCGCAAATCTGGAGCAGCTCCGTTATATCCCCGTTTTTAGAGATTTGGGTACAGAGGAAAGAGAGAGGGTTTTATTTTCTGAAGCTGCATGAGTTCCCTGACACACCGGGGACACATATTTGTGTATAAATAATAACCCCCATCCCCAATTCCGGCTCCAGTTCCAGCTCATAGGGGTTTCACAACTACCTTATTATTAGTCGACAAGTTTTTCAAAATAGTAGTCGACTAGTTGTTACGTCATAATAAAGACACACAAAGAGAGGTGTAAAACTGTATTTTGTATTGCAATGCATACAGTTACGTTAAACACTGTAACAAAGCAGCATTTTAATTTGGGTTACATGCTGTGACTCATATCTGATTAAATTAAAAACAGTAACTGGACTCACCAAATCTACTGCAAAAACTCTGTTAAGAACATAAATCAACGTAAATCCAGTGCGCATTGCGCAACACTTTACTCGGCTGTCACTGTCCTCCTCGATAACGATGTCCACCCTTCCAGGTGTTTTGGTTTGCGTTGAGGAAGACCAAAGCATCAACATGTGAGGGAAGGAGGCTTGACCGCTGTCGGGTGACACAAATAAATATTGTCCGCCACCAATGGATCTCATTTGTTGTTTCTATTTTTTTGTTGGTGATCTAATGCAGTGGTTCTCAAATGGGGGTACGCCAGTGGCGAGCCGTGAGTTGTATACCTAGGCCCTCTAACCCCCACCCCAAAAAAAAAAGTGTCATTACGTCACAAGCGTATATTTCAGCGGAATATCAAAACAATGGCCCGGGGGTGCCAAACGCATCAATGACAGCGACCCTCTACCACACAAAACAACACCTGTAAATAACCCTAGACCAGGCATCCTCAAAGTCCGGACTCCGGTCTGGATCCGGACCAACCACAACTGTCTCTGGACTCTCAGCTAATTATACTTTTCATATGTATTATCTGTGTTATCTGCGCTATATCGCCACAACGAGTCAAAATTCTCCGCTATGTCCACTGCAAACAGCGCTCTGCATGTACGACTGTTCCACTGTCTGTGTGTGTCTGTCAACGCTTTGGTCCAATCACATTCAGTATCCCGTCAGCGTTTTTTCCCACCACCAACAGTCCTGCGAATCAGAGGCACAGTAGGGCGGGTCTTCGCGGAATGCGGGTGGGAAAAATGTGTGTGTGTTTAAAAAAAAAAAGTCAGAGCGAGAGTTAACAGCTCATCTAGTTGCATCTGTACTGTAGCTAGTAGCCTACAGCCTAGTTTCACCTACCCGCCCTTACGAAATGAACTATAGTATTACTATAGTATACTATAAGAGTTGTATAGTATCCTATAGTAAGTTTGTAGAGTTCTATAGTATTTTTCACCAGCTATCGTATTGCTATAGTCTTTTCTGTAGTACCATTTTACTAGCTATAGTAGCCCTATAATATTTCAATAGTAATACTATGTAGCTAGATCTTTGTAGTATTCCTATATTATTTTAATATTATAACTATAGTACAATATATAGTGTTTCTGTAGTTGTTTTTTGAACACACTATAGACCACTCCTATAGTCAGGGCTGCACATAACTGGTGCGCAGGTGCGCATAGCTCACCTCCGCCAAAAAAAGAGCACCGGGTCATTTGAAACAAAGCGCATTTGCGTACCAACATTGAGAGGGAGAGAGAGAAGAGAAAAGAGAAAATAGAGGAGAGAGGAGAGAAGAGAGAGAGAGAAAGATATTTGGCGAGTTGCATATGAACCATGAGAGTAGAACTCAGAGGGGCCGGCGGCCCGTAGCCTGGCTAGATGTTCGCCTAGGGCGCCAGATCTGGGGAAGTGCTGCGCTGGCAGTTCTGGGAGGGAAAAAAAAACATTTTGACCGTTGGGGCTCATCCTAATTTTCGGCCTTGATGTACAATATTCCAATGAAGTAAATGTAACACCCTTTTACCCCGGTTCCACCTTTCATTTGCCCTGTACGATGGGCGCTGATAATGATGAAAATGGGGGATGTTGGCTATTCTGGCGCCCGCAGCTCACAGAACAAAATGCGAGTGAGCGAGGGAGGGTGGGTACCAGCGCTGTTGTTATTATAATCTGGTGCCGTGCTAGCTGCTCTAACGGAGATAAGAAGATGTTTCTACAATAATGTGGAGGAGAGTCCTCTCCAGTCAGACTGAGAGGCTGATAAGTTAACCTACAGCTCAGAGGTAAAGGACTCTTAGTCTAAGTTCAAACGGTTTGGTCACAATTTATGTAAACACATATTTCCAAGGCACTCCTTTGTAATTATTGGATAAACAGGTTTTAAATCATTCCAATGTATACTATAGGACAGTAACCAAAATATCCTTTAAAACTGGAAGATACAAAAAAATGTATAATAAATAAATGTTAAGGTAAAATAAGATTTGAATGAAAAAAAAAATGCAACAAATGTCAACACATTAGTTTTGACTAACACTGGGCTAACATTGGGCACTGTCCTGCCCAATCACCCAGTTGAGTTATTTCAAATGTATCATTTTTCAACTGTCCAATTGTCCATCAAATGTCCCATCTGCCATTTCACCTCTGGCTGCTGTGGAGGATGGATGTCAGCAGAGGAGAGTCTTACTCTAGGTAAGTTACAGAAACAAAACGTTTTTTAACAAAGTGAGCAGATATATTGTCATAATGTGAGCAAGCTAGGGGTCTAAATCATAGACTGTATATATAAATGGACGTAGGGTCCGTGACGTCCCCATAGGATTCTGCAGAGTTGCCGTGAAGCCCTTAGTAGGCGGAGTCGGCCACTAACGGCTCGACAGTGACGCCAGAGTTCACTCCCAACTACCTTCTCCAGCCTGCTCCAAATAAGGGCAAAGAGGCGGAGCCGAGGCGGGACCTGCTGCCACCGAGCTGTAAGCTCCAGAGCTAGCTGAAGCTACCAAGCTAAGCTAACATGCTCCCCATCTGCACACTGCCGTCGCATTTTACGTTTCTAAGGTAAGCGGACATGAAACTATTCAGCAAAACTATAAATAATAATCTAAGTTATCGAGTTTTAACATAATACTTCAGAATCTTAAAACCCCTTAACGTTTGTATGCAAATCCAAACACCGTGACAACCTCCTAACCTATCAGGCTCTCCTCTCCTCTTTCTCTGCTTCGATCTCTCAGGCAAAAAGCACTTTCTTTCAAGATAAGATCCAATCTTCCTATTCCAATCCTAAAAAACTATTTTCCATCTTCTCCACCCTCTTGGACCCTCCAAAAGCTCCTCCCCCC